ACTCAAGAACATACCCAAAATATATATCGATAATCTTACGTCAATATGCGTTTTTGCATTTGCATAAATGTGCAGAAATACACAAAAGATATCAAACTAAATGAATTACACGAAAAAACGTTTCAGCTGGAGAAATATAACTTAGCGCGGAAACACCATTGTGGCAAGCCAAAGACAAGCAGTTGGGTGGGAAAAGAGTTGCCTGTCAGTGTTTTTTGGAAAAATACAGATAAGATGTAAACAAAGATTTGTGATTACCGAACTGAATACGTCACGCAGATCGGCAAAATTCCTCAGCAGCGGATCGGTCTCGTCCAACAGCGAATGGCCAAGCTGGACGTGCTGTTGCTGGTGCGGCCAGGCACCACGATGTGCCTTCTTGAGCAGCGCAACAACCGCATTCGCCTCTCCCTGTACAACGTAGAAACCGTTCACAGCCATTGCCTCACTAGCCTCAGCTGTTGCTCATCTGAAAACCCAAAAATTTCGCATTTTTTTCGAACAAAATCAAGCACAGGTGATCAATGATAACATATAAATTAGCCAAGACGGCTTATAAGTTTATTTAAATAGAAACGAAAGAAAAAGCCATGGAGGCCCAAACAAAAAGTAGTCATTCCAAGCCGAAATGTCAGGGTTTTGGTAGATATGCGATGGAAATTTGCAACCACAGACCGAGGTAGGCCGAAGAATAACAAATAAAGTAGAGGACTGTAAAAACCAAAGAAGTTCAACAAAGCCGAATTCCATATGTTTTAAGGCTAGAAGAACAGAATTCGATAAAGAATGGTAGGGCGTAAGAAAGTTGAGTTGCTGACGTGGAACAAACCGGTTAACAAGTAAAATGGTCATATTCAGAGTATATATTTGAGTGGTCTATCAGTGTTTCATCCCTTAGCTGTAAACGCAGACAGAGTGTCAAGTCAAAAAGTCCCTCTGTATTCTCACTCAGTGGAGGGGGCGGAGCTTGGGAAATAGCCCGAACGGTAGCAAATGCCAACAGCAATCACTCGCTGGTAAGGCTATTAATAACTTCCTTTTTCGAGGGTTTTTTTGCGAGCAAAACAACGGCGGTTTTGAGTCCCTGGCATTTGCCAGTACCAATTTTACCATCGAAACCAATGAACGAATCCTAGAGCGATTGGTTATTGCACCGGCGAAGTAGGACTCTCGACTTTCTGCTAACCCACTACGCCATGATTGCCAGCCGGGCTTTTTTCAGGCGCAGAAAAACATCCAGATTCATCCAAATGCAAAAGTCGCTCGGCGTGAAGTAAAATTTTAATTCTAGAAGAGGGCAGTGCGATCTTGGACAACCAGAGAGCAATGCGGAGGCGCGAATGGAACTGCACTCACGCCCACGTTCTTGACCGTGCGGTGGTGCTGGATACAATGTCGCAGTTGAAATAAAAACCCCAAGGAGCATGTGGCCTGGGTGGACATCCAAAAGTCCTTCCACTCGGTATCCCATAGTACCCTTCTGCGGGTTCTTAAGTCTATCCGTATTCCTAGTAAGATCCAAAGGATAATTTGGTAAACAGTGCGAAAATGAGCCACACAGAGCTTAAAATTTTGCTGCAAAAGCAACGAATTCGGCTGGAATGTATTAAAATGTTCACATGCATGAAAGGCTCACAAAACCCTGCTTTTAACGCCAAAAAATAGAAAAAAAAGCCCCTAAAAGTGTAATACTTCGAGTAATAAAAAAAAAGAAAAAAACAGATTAGACAATTTTGAGAAATATTTTGTAGGAGCCAAAACTGAATAACATCTTAGTCACCCCCCCCC